GGAGGGTAATGCACACAAGAAGTACAAGTACTAGCTCCAATTTGTCCTAGCCGTATATGTAGAATCATTTTCGTCTCGGTGTTTATCAGACAGACGGCAGAAGCCTATCGGTTGAGTAAGATATCTGTGAGGATGGTGCCAATGTCATCTCATATCTGGGTCCCCGGGAACGATATAAACCAGTATGATTTGATGCTGATGAGTGGTTTTCGAAGCCTTAAAGATAGAGATAGAACCGAAGACCATATAGACTCTCTGCTTGTCGGGGGCGGGCAGTGATTGAGAGCCTCTATTCCGTGTCCCACAGCCCCAACTGTACAGTAAAGCCGCGGGGATCTTTATTTATGCGGTAACGAAAGCTGATGTATCGTCATGTTGTGCTTGCAGTATTGTTGCACAAAGACTGATCGGCCCTATCAGCTATCTCCTACTCTTTAGCCATCGAGCTAGGCAGTTATGGCATTGCTGCATAAGATACCCAATCTGAGAATCCTCCAGAGAACTCTGAAATTAGTCAACGGCGCAGCTTTATGTAGATGTTGTGCAGACGCTTTTGGTTGACGACAAAGTCATAAGAGGCGTGTATGTAGACCACGGTTCTGACAATGTTGTAATGCACTGAACATCACTTGTGGCGTTGCAAATTTTATTGCCCCTAGGATTTCTTCTTGCTGTTTATGACAGTCAACGAGCCAGCTTGAAACTGTGTCTTTCGCCGCTATCCTAGCGATTTGAGAGTATCCGCAATTGCTTTTGCTACCCTGGTACAGGTGGTCATCCAAGTTGCAAGCTGCATGAGACTAGGTCATTCTTCATCAGCCCAGGGATGTCTAGTGCTCTATAAGCACTTATAAAGCGTTGGCAGGCCATGGTGAACCCCAAAAAGAATCTGCTTTATTGATTGGTGTGTCCTAGAACCACCGATCGATTTATTATGCCTTATGCTCGGACAGGAGACAGTCAAGGTCGCTTCTCGTGAAACCAGCTATTCCAACCACGAGAAGGTCGTCTCTGCATTGTATCGAGAACTTGTCTAGCTCTTCGACCAGGTTCAAGGATGTTCGCGGCCCAACACTGGACAGTGCTTTCGATCGCACTGATGAGGGCAGAGATGTCTCATTCAAAGCCCTAAGTGCTATACCATATTGGGGTTTCGTTAGGTGACCAGGATACGGATATCCCAGTACAGAACTCGACTGTGGAGAGTCATTGACACCTCGAGCTAGTTTACAATGATATCTCAAGCGGTGCCAGGCTTATTCAGTTTGGGCAGCTGGCCAACAAGCAAAGGATCATCGACCAACTAGTTCTTCTCCACGTCTCAGGAAATTCAGCCCTTATGTCTGACGATGCAGATTGGAGATTTTCGACATGCCCCTTTCCGGTCGCCAGACAGGTGCTTGTTGGCAGACACGGCAAGTATGTAGTCAGTCATATGTAGCTTCAATCTATGCAGCTGGAGGTGGATGTGATCGGTCAGGCTAGTCGAGATATCTTCTGCCGTGGCCACGATGTGTTGATATGAGATGAGTGATGATGAAAAGAATGTAGCAATTCACACGAAGTATTTGTAGAGTGAGAAGCGTGTCATGTTTTGGGGAGAGAGAATGACGAAAGAAGAAGAAACCCACACTGGCGCCGGGGCGATGGCTTTTATAGGCAAGCCCTAGCAAGGCCAGTGAAGCTATTCGCCGACTAAGCAAGAGTGATAGCCTCAGGATGGTTAGTGAACGGGACTACGACATGTTGTGAATATCTTCACATTCAGAAACTATGCATCAAATATTCCATGGTTAACAGACCTAGTCTATTCCTATAAAACAACCGTGGTGAATGAGAATGGGATAGCATCAATATAATACAGGTAATTACAAAAAACATCACGCTGGAGCCCGTCACGCCTGGTCATTTCAATGCACTTATTGCCGGCTCGCCTGCGCAGCCTTCTGGCGCTGCAGCTCCATGGCCCTCAGATGAGCCTCGCGACGGGCATGGTTCCGCTCCTCGCGCTTCCACGCCTCCTCCTCAGCACGCCGTCTCTCGTAGTCCTCCGCCAGCTTGCGGTCCTTCTCGCTGAGTCGGGGGCCCGCGGAAATAGTTCCATCCGCGTTCTTGGTAGGACCGCTGCCTCGGTACTCCTCAACCTTCTTCTGCATCTCATCCTTGAGCTTCGACCCAGTCTCCTTGACTTGTCCGATGGTACGGTCAATGAGACTCAACCTCTCGCGCTCGGCCTCCTCAGCAGCCTTCTGGGCGGCCTCCTTGTTAGGTACTTCGTTGATCAAGCGAAGGCCATGGTTATCGGTTTTTAGCTGTTCGTCGGGCTTCGGGACGTTGGGATCCACTATGGTGATACCGGCCATCCTCCGGAAAGTGGACGAGCTAAGCAAGTACGTTTGCCCCAGAGCAAACACACTGGTGGTCATGAAGTAGAGCTGAAGGGCACCAGGGAAATTGGCCATGAACAGGAACGAAATCGCGGGCATGCCGTAGAGGAAAATGTTCTTGAAAGCGGAGTCTTTCATTTGGTTCATACCGGTCTCTCCTCCTTTCTACACGCAACTGCATTAGCTAGACGTTTGAAAAGAAAAGGCAAAGTTCCGCACCTTGAGAGTGTGATGTAGGATAACTGATCCAATCAAAGGAAGAATGTAGTAAGGATCGGAAACGGTAAGGTCCTGAAGCCAGCCAACGTGTTCCGTAGTCAGTCCGGGCACCGGCAGACTGCACATGTTGTTGACGACACGGTAACAACCGAAACCGAAGGGAATATGAATCATCGGGATCATGGCTTTCCAGGGCTTGATATCGTGATCCTTGTGCAGCTGGCTCAGCTCCGCCCTCTTCCGTGTCGCCTCCATCAGGTCATTCTTATAGTTGGCCTGAACCATCTCCGTCCGAAGTGGAGTGGTGAGGTGCTTGATGTTGTTGAGCTTAGTACTGGTGTCCGCAGCCATAAGTGTAGGGTACAGAAGACCCAGACGAATGAAGAGACCGGTTGCGACAATCGCACCCCACCAGGGGAGACCACCCATGATATGGAAGTGTTCAACGCTCCATTCGATCATGGACGAAAAACCCCAGCCAAAATCCAAGCCCAATTGCTTCAAGTATCCAATCTGCTCCGGGATCGCATTGATATCAGCCGCGGTCAGATCATTGAGGTTGACTTCTCCTTGGGGTGCGAGAGAGACTTCACTGGCCGCCGGGACCGAGGGAGTAGTCGATGAAGGAGCCGAAGAGGTGGAATTGAAGCGAGCGGCGGCCACTCCGGTGATCGCAGTGGCAGGCCGCCAGGAGCGCGTTCCAAGCAGCGCCTGCTTGGATTGACCATATGGGACGGCGGTTCTCAGGGTCTGCGGACGGAATGAGGACATCTGTAGGGCAAAGTCAACAACTTCGTACTCGAGCCGACAAGAAATGACTGCGGCGGAGGACAAACCGATCGGCTGGAACGTGAGAAGGCATACAACCGTTGCCGGGCCACGGCGGGCAAGACGCCGCGTCCACTGAGACCAGTCCCTCCCAACATGGCGAGAATTGGTATGAAGGTGGATGAGATGAATGGGGAACTCGAATCGGAGTTTGGGGAAAATCGCGGAGGCTTTTCGGGACGCTTTTTCGGTGCCAAGCCTGCCTTTTCTGCCGGGCGGAAATCCTCAATTCATTCCTACGGAGTCTCGAGCGGTCTAGTCTTCGCTATGGAATTAGGCCGATTCATCGTACATGTGGCTATTCTCAATAAACGCAATTCTCGTCAATATATGAGAGATAAATTCGAGGTGGTTCGCCAGACGCCGTCCAGTCAGACCGATTACTGATGCTTGCTCTATGTACACTGTAACCCCCTGATGCGCATTCATGCCACCCTGCAAGCGACAAGAAATGAACTGTTTTGATGCCACTTTACCCGTACATGCCAATATCAATCGGGCGTGATGAGATATCTATATGGTCCGCTAGTACTCCATCCGGGTCTACTCTAGAGACGTAGCATCCTTCAGTCCGGCCGCCCTAGTCCCCCTCCGTTGCGACGGGATGTCTCGCACCTCGATTCCGGGCCCGATGGGTCTCGAACGCCGATGCATAGGGAAGACCTAATATGAACATTTGGTTAGTGTTATTGAACCATAACGAAAGCCGGCTTTGAACGAGGGGCCGGGGCGAGTCCTGCGCCCCTGTCTATCAAACAAAGATTGTAATCGTACCTTTGTCCCGGACCAGCCGAGTCGATAGGCTGCTTCATGTGCAAACAACTCGCCAAATCCCAGCATCAAGCCATTCACGAATGGGAGAACGAGGTTAATGGCAGCTCCCCGCAAGATACTCCAGATGGTCGGGGGCTTGTAGAGGATCAAGGGGGAGCTCGAGGAGGATGACTGAGAGCCGGAGATGTCATGATTGGCTGAATAGTTCTCAGAATCTGAGTGGACAGTCAGTCCAGATTCATACAGCTCCCTCGAGCTGGAGAGGTCGGCGGCCATGATGCGGGGAGAAGGCGATCAACAAGGAAAGGGAACTATGAAGGACGGGGCTGGAAATTAGAAAAGCCCGTCTGTGACTGCGAAACAATCAGCAAGTTGACAAACGCGGGGATACGAAGGGCACCAACTGAATGGAGGGGAATTCGGCGCTGGATGAGGTCGGTCCCTTGGGGTTGGCTGGATTGACGATCTACACCTGACCTGCAGAAGCCGTTATGTAAGCAGCCTGCCCTCGCGTTCGCTATAGCAACAACCAGAAGAGACAGCCTGCAGGGTCGTGTGATGGAATCAAGTAAAGTCAGACGAGCAGTCAAGTTAGAGAAGCAAGTGAGAGTGCAGCCAAGGAATGAAAGGAGTGAAGTCACTACTTTTCGTCACGGAATATCTTCTGATTGATGGTTCGCCGGGGGATTCCTCAGGCACCAGCGGAAGATCCCCTCTTCCGGATGACCAATCAGGCAACAGTGACGTACCGTTATTGGGTCCCTTCAGCTTCGTGAAGAGCTACAATAATACGAACCACTGCATCTTCCAAGTCACTGACATTCTCCGCCTTTCTTCAATAGTCTTTGTGCTTTTCCATCTTCGAATCAGTGCTGGGCTGCGAAGCTTCATAAAATCTAACACCAACCATCCCAACGTGTGCAGTGCCGTCACGGTCGATTTACTTCCAACATGGAGCACAACGCGGACCGCGATGAGATTGTCTCTCAATTCTGCGCCATGACTAGGACGGATCCTCACGAGGTACATGCTAATGGTCCCAAGTCTAGCTATGTTGCTAAGTAAAATTCTCATCTCAGGCGCAAGGCTATCTGGCAGCCAACGAGTGGGATCTCGAAGCCGCAGTCACCGAATTCTTCGCCGAACAAGATGAAGCCTCACAGGATACTGGCGCAGCTGGTGGTGGTCGCCGACTCGGCGCTGAATCGGAACCCTCTGCCGGCCGTTCGCTTGGTGGCAGCTCCTCTCATTCCCCCTCCACTACCCCGCAGCTCTCATCCCGCAGGTCGGCCCCGAAAAAGAAGTTTGCGACCCTGAACGATTTTGCGTCGGGTGGAGGAGAATCTTCAGAGGAAGACGATGCAGTGAACCAAGACTTCTTTGCTGGGGGTGAGAAATCGGGCTTGGCTGTGCAGAACCCCGATGATATTAAGAAGAAGATCATTGAAAAGGCCAAAAGGTGAGGACCTTTGGATAAGCTTGATTGTGCAAGGCTGATACATTTGTAGGGCTCAGCCTCCGCCATCGGACGAACCCACCAGAAGGTCTTTCTTCACCGGCACCGCACGTACCCTTGGTGGTGATGAGGCCCCCAGCAGAGTGATCGAATCCCCCAGTGCACCTGTTTCGCAGACACCGCAGCGCGTACATAGAACTCTACACTTCTGGTCTGATGGCTTCTCGGTTGATGATGGAGAGCTGTTCAACTCCGACGACCCCGCCAACCGCGATATCCTCGAGGGTATCCGCCAGGGCCGTGCCCCGCTCTCTATCATGAATGTGCAGGCTGGTCAGGAGGTGGACGTGGAAATTAAACAGCATGACGAAAAATACGTGAAGCCTAAGCCTAAGTACAAGCCCTTCTCCGGGGCTGGACAGCGCCTCGGTAGCCCCACACCTGGTGTGAGAGCACCTGCGCCAGCAGCTGCCCCTACTCCCAGTCAGTCCACCGAGCCAGCCAAGCCGGACATAGATGAGTCGCAGCCGACGGTGACTCTTCAAATCCGCCTTGGAGACGGCTCACGGCTCACTTCCCGGTTCAACACCAGCCATACCATTGGTGACGTGTACCAGTTTGTGACCGCTGCCAGCCCTAGCAGCCAGTCGCGTCCCTGGGTATTGATGACTACGTTCCCCAGCAAGGATCTCTCCGACAAGAGTGTTGTGCTGGGTGATATGGCGGAGTTTAAGCGGGGCGGCGTGGTGGTACAGAAGTGGCAATAAGTGTGGAGGTATAGTCCTGTTGGGTATAGAGGTGTGCATAAGCTCGGTGCAATTTCTCATAACGTCAGGATTTAGTGATAGGCATTTTAGGCATAGATATGAGTTGATGAGAAGCAGCTCCCGAGTTATGTCATGAAATGATACAATGATGATCAGTAATGAGCAGTCTAGGGTTGATATTAGTACAAGAAGTCCAAGCTGCAGACTCGTACATCATGTAGTGAGTAGCACATCATCGTTATACGCAGTATAATCTGCAGCATGCATGCATCTTGTAGATATAGATAGCAGTGAACGAGTGAGGGAGTGATATCTCCGGACCGGCTGGATTGATAAGCAAAACTCCGCGGAATAACGCAGAAAAAAAGCCCACCCGAAATCGGCTCGCCATCGCCATACCCAGACCTTCACCACTTCTCCAACCCAACCAGATACCCAGATCCTAATTAGAGGAAGATACTTAAGATGCCTCTCGACGGGGTCAAGAATGTTGTGCTGGTGAGTATACATCTTCAACTGCCCTACCTTCAACTCCCTCCAGCTCTAAATTCCATTGCGACAACCCCTCCTCTCTTATCGATAACAGCGCGCAACTGCACACAGCATGGATGAATGGCCATATCTACGCATACAATGCGCGCACATCCTACCTACCTCTCTATCCATCTATCTATATTTCAATTCTATCTCCCAAGACAAACTAACAATCTAATCCCCAGGTCCTCTCCGGCAAAGGCGGCGTCGGCAAATCCAGCGTAACGCTACAACTCGCCCTCGCGCTCACCCTTCAAGGCAAATCCGTCGGTATCCTAGACATCGATCTCACCGGGCCCTCAATTCCCCGTTTAGTCGGTCTCGAAGACGCAAAAATCACCCAAGCGCCGGGCGGTTGGCTTCCTGTCCCCGTTCACCCATCCACCATTACCTCCTCCTCCTCACAACCAGACTCCTCCACCACCACAACGACAACAGAAGAAAGCCCCATCAAACATGGCTCCCTCCGGTGCATGTCCCTGGGATTCCTTCTCCGATCCCGCTCAGACGCCGTAATCTGGCGGGGCCCCAAAAAGACCGCCATGATCCGACAATTCCTCTCGGACGTGCTATGGAATGAAACCGATTACTTGCTTATTGATACGCCTCCTGGAACGAGTGATGAGCATATTGCTCTTGCGGAGCAGCTTTTGACGCTTTGTACGATTGATGCTGCTTCTTCCTCAGCGAGTGGATTGCCTCGGCTTGCTGGTGCGGTGCTGGTTACTACACCGCAGGCGGTGGCGACGTCTGATGTACGGAAAGAGGTGAATTTCTGTGTGAAGACGAGGATTCCGATGTTGGGTGTGGTGGAGAATATGTCGGGGTATACGTGTCCGTGTTGTGGGGAGGTGACGAATCTGTTTTCGAGTGGTGGGGGGCAGGTCCTGGCGGAGGAGATGGGGGTGAGGTTTTTGGGGAAGGTGCCGGTTGATGTTGGGTTTGGGGAGTTGGTGGAGGGGAAGGTTGGTGGGGAGGAGGAGGATAGTGAGGATGAGGATGAGGATGGAAGTGCTGGTAAGGCTGATGGGGAGAAGAAGGAGGAAGAGAAGGATGAGAGGCCGTTGGTGGAGAGGTATCGGGAGTGTTGGTCGTATGCACGGTTCGAGGAATTTTCGAAGACGTTGATAGCGGAGATTGAGGGGTGATGATGATGGAGTTAGTAGTATATATAGGGGTTACGTTAGAGCATGTGTCATGGGTGGCGTCTTTTGGCATGGGTGTAGAGTGATACGAGATCATGATTTACTATGAAAGAAAAGTACTGGTACTCATCAAATGTGAGTGGCGTAGTCATCAGTCATTATATGTCGTGGGTAGCATCGCTGCCTAGTAATTCTGCCGTGTATAGATAACATCGTATATCATATCATAATAATCATCACCACCGTTCCTCGTCATTTCATACATTCCCGCGAGCAACATCATTACCATCACGCATTTGAAATAGTTTGGTCTCTTTCGAGCATCGCTCGTAGTCGCATCTCAGCTGTTGCCTGCCTTGCCTCAGAACCAGCAGCTACGGCACCATACTGTAGCCAGCTTAGAAGCGCCTGCACCTCGGCTACCAGGGACGGCGGAATCCAACCCCTATATCCAGCGCTGGAATCCATAGCGCTAGGACCGAGAAGCTCCTGGCCTCGCGGGGCCTCCGAAGAGGTTGCGTTGGCTTCAGCCTGGGCATCAAGCAAGACCTCGGATACAAGAGCCGGAGTAAGGATATTCGAACCCGACTGTGTCTGCGTGCCTAACAGTGTACGGCCGCATGAATTGGGCTTGGAGGCAAACTGCCTCGTGGGAAGTGTCCCCATCGCGGGCTCTTCGGCCGGCGCATGTAATGCCAGGGGAGATCTTGGGGTACTGGGCGGGGCCTGGCTGGACGAGCCGGCCCCGGAGAACGGAGTTCTGAATGGAAATCCCGTAGATGGCCGTCTGCCATCCCAGTGTCGATACTGCGATAAGGACGAATGATCACGTCCATCGGCGACACTATTCTCATCGTCGTAGATAACCACGTTGTCGCTTTGTCTTTCATGATCGGAGCTGGCTTCTTCGACTGTCACCAGACCACCCGGGGGCGCCCGGATCTCGCCTAGCGGAGCGATATGACTTCCATACTCGTTAGCCAGACTGAGTCTGCTGCGGCCGCAGATTTCTCCGATCGAGTCTAACGTCTGGCGAATATTCGGCTCGATAGCTCGCAGTATGCCGTCTATGCTAAAGTCGTCCTCCGATGGGAGAGCAGGCCCGCGTCGCTGGCTTCTTGAGCCACCGATGAATGGGAATGAGCGCCGCGAAGGCATCGTGGTAGAAGTGCTGGAGGTGTCATGAGGGCCACCCGAATATGCCCTAACCAGCACGGGCTGCGATGCCGACGGTGAGGGTCGCGAAGTAGCTGACCGATTATGGTTTCTCCAGGATGAGGTTCCGGGAGTCCCATTCAGCTGACGTAGCGTAGTGGTACGATGCGCTCGAGAAGACTCATCTAGCGCGGGTTCATAGCGATAGGGAGCAGTTTGTTGCAGAGGACGGACGGTCTCGACCACCGGCGAGGCATGCAGAGGGTTCAGCTGCGACCATCTCCGGCGTGGCAAAGCGGACGAAGACGATGGAAAAGCGTCCGTGTGGGCGAGCAGCCTACCGGACCTATAATCCATCTCCGTTCAGGGCAATGCGATGCAGGCTGTGACGCAGCAGCGGAGCGTAGACGGGGATATGACCACCCGCAACGAAACAACACCACCACCACCGGAGTAAAAACCCCGCCTTCCGGCCAATACGCAACAGCAGCGGCAGATCGGCTGGCAGCAGGGAAGGCGATCAAGCGCCTGTCAGACAACGAGTTCTCAGTAGCGGCTGGCGGCGGCGGTGGACGGGCAGACAACGCAGGACACGTATCACGCTCCAACGCGTCGCTCCACGGAACACAAATGCATGGACTCAGCAGGCCAACGAGCTGGCATGATCGGGGAGGCAGATGACTGTGGATCGGGCCGGGACTCAGAGGCGATGATGCAGCGAAGGAATCCAGAAACTATTAAGAAAAGTGGCTGGTTTCAAAGTTGAAGCGGGCGGAAACTGGGGACTCGATACCCGAAAGGGGAAACACTAAGCTCCAACAATCATCATCATCGTCGTTGTCGTCTTTCATCCATCTCCAACCCGTTGGTAGTGTCCTTCGCGCAGTGGTGACCACCTCGACGCTTGTCTCTGGGGGTTCGTCGGAAGCTGCATATGGTGCGGTTGATACTTTAAAAGTCACCCTTTCAAGATGAATAGGTTTCGCGTATGCTATTCCCTGTCTGGCCGAACCCTTCTTCCTCCTTCACCCATCCATTCGTTCCCCCGCCATACTTCAGTGAAACTGATGGTTATGCGCCTAGTTTGGCGACTCCGATGAGTCTGCGTCCGAATTCGACGATGATACCTCCGGACTGCCCTTCCCCGAGCCTTTATCCCGTGCTTCCTTCCTCTCTCCCGACTTCGACCCCGCGGCGTATTTATCCTCCCTCACCAATCGACACCAGAGCCTCGAGGACTTGCGACAAGAATTACGGGATTTGGATCAATTACTCAGTCGGGAATTACTAGACTTGGTCAATGAAAACTATCAGGACTTTCTATCTCTAGGGAGCGCACTAAACGGCGGGGAGGAGAAAGTCGAGCAGGTACGAGTCGGCTTGTTGGCATTCCAGCGTGATGTCCAGTCCATACGGGATAAGGTGGAGGCCAGGCAAGAGGAGATGGTCGAGCTACTAAAAGAGAAGAAGCGCCTGAAAACGCAAGCCAATGTTGGGCAGGCCTTGCTGGACTATGCGGATCGAGTCGAGGAGCTGGAAAGGAGGTTAATGATCGGAGACACTCCCCGGCCTCCTCAGGAAGGTACCCCGGGCGAGTCCGATTCGGATTCCGATTTGGTTGAGAGCGACAGCGATGATAGTGACGAGGATGAATTGCCTAACGGCGCAACTACTGCATCGCTCGTTTCCCTCAAGACACTCGAGCGTCATATTCAGAAGTATGTCTACTTGACAAAGCTGTCGTCTCGGATAGGTGACAACCATCCGTTCCTACAGAGCCAACAACCAAGGATGTCGAAAATACGATCTGCGGTGCTCTTGGATCTGAAGACGGCCCTGGAGCAGGCAAAGCAGGCGGGCGACAAGCGGGATACGAAAACGCTGGCCGTATTGCGTCTCTACAAGCTCATGGGAGAGGACACTACTGCCGTATCGGCACTCAAGAATCTGAAGTCCTAGGGGACCTTTAGAGCTAGGCAGTGCCATTTTGCATAGCGCCGGCGTTGGGAGATCTACTTTTGCTGGTTCCGAGTGAGATTTGAAAAAATACCATTATACACCGTAACCTTCCTAATGAAACATATTCTGTACACCCATGAACTTGAAGACGCTAGACTATTTTACACGCCCTGCAAAGCAGCAGATTCGGGAGAAGTCTCCGACCTGAATTCTCCGTTCAGACTGAAGCCGGGACCGTTGGTCGAGCTCAGGACCTAAGGAACGTTAGAAAACAATACCGGTTGCAAGCGCAACGCAAGTCGGCGACTTACCACTTCGTACACCTCCTTGGTTATGCGGTCGTTAAGACCGGCCGCATCCTTCTTGATCTGGTCGATCGTTGCGCGCAGGTTGTCACGCAATTGCTCCGGGGTGAAACCGAGCTGTCCAACGGGGACACGAATGACGGCGTCACGCTCACGGTAAATGGTACCACCACGCAGCATCTCCACACGCACGGCGATATCTTCGACCACAGTACCCGTCTTGACGCTGGGCATCAGGCCCCTGGGACCGAGGATCCGACCCAGGCCAGCCTTGTTCAATGCATCCAAACTATCCGGGTGGCAGAGGCAGCGGTCAAACTCGATCTTGCCGGCTTTCACGGCATCAAAAACCTCCTGCTCACCCACAATGACTGCTCCAGCCGCACGAGCTTCCTTCTCATGGCGGGTTCCGGGAGGGCACACGACGCAGATTCGGGACTCGGTCTGGACTGAATGGGGGAATCGGAGCATGTTGCGAATGACGGGACCGTCCCTCCTCGTCTTCAGGCGGACGTGGACCTCGTATTTGGAATTGGTTGGCTCGCGGCCAACTTCGAATGCACGGAGATATCTGCGGTGAAGATCGACGCAATCAGTAAAAAAGGTCGATTGAACCACGACGACAATAATACAAACCTCATGGCATCACATAGCGCAAATTGTTGCATATCCTTGAGATCCTTCTGCTTGAACTCTCTCGGACCCTTCTTTCTCTTGCTGGTCTTGTCTCCTCCCTTCACCTTGCGCGCCTGGGCAGCGGTGCGCACCTGCTGCAAGCTGGGCAAAATAGGCGCAATTGGGCTCGGGCGAAGAACAGGACGACATGACGACAAGATTCCCCGTGCCGCAGAGGGCATGAGGGAGCTGTAGGAGGAAGCCATGGTGATGAACTCCGAATGAGCTTGACAGCGCCGGGAATGTTTTCTGGTCCGAAATCTAGAGGCTCCGGCCGACCATCGCCCGCGGAGAAACTTACCGCCGGCGGAGCCCATTGAGTCAAAACTGCCCCTCCCGGCAGTAAATTATCTCCATCCCACCTTTCTATACCATCTTTTCCTGGGGCAATTGATCCATTTTCCTGGGGTTTTGGGTATTTGGAAAGATGTCGCAGTTCAAGCTTAGCCTGGCCACTAAGGCCAACCAGGCCTCTTTGCTTCCAGTCCTCCTGGTTGCTACCTCCATTAACGAGGCTCGCCCTACTCCCGTCATCGCCATTAACTTCGAGGATGCGGCTGTTCTCCCCGAGGGCGAGAAGGCTATCGTTCAGTTCACGGGTGCCAGCGGTGCTCCCGTCTATGGAACTGACAATGCCATCAAGGAGCTGCGTGCCAGCTTCCCCTTCCTTAACGGAAAGGATGAGAAGTCTGTAAGTGATCCCCGCTTCGCCTTCATTGTGAGTATATGCTGATGGAGGCTTTTCCAGGAGAACGAATGGCTTTCCCAGCTCGAATCCTTCACCACCCTTGACTTCAAGGCTCTCGACCCTCTGCTTCAGCGCCTGAACACCCACCTCCTCCTTCGTTCTTTCATCGTCGGTTACTCGCTCTCCACCCCCGATATTGCTCTGTGGGGTGCCCTTCGTGGCAACCGCGTTGCCATCTCCGCTATCCGCAAGGGAGCCCTTGTCAACCTGACTCGTTGGTTTAACTTCCTGGATGAGCTCTGCCCCTGGGCTAGCGCTGCTTTGGAGAGCCTCAATGCTTCCGCCAAGGAGAAGAAGGCGGCCAAGGCCAAGGAGGGTGCCAGCTACGACATTGCTCTGCAGAACACTGACAAGGGTGTTGTCACTCGTTTCCCTCCTGAGCCCTCTGGATACCTGCACATTGGACACGCCAAGGCTGCTCTGCTCAACGACTACTTTGCGCACGAGAAGTACAACGGCACCCTGTTGGTGCGCTTCGACGACACCAACCCCTCGAACGAGAAGCAGGAGTTCCAGGATGCTATCATGGAGGATTTGGCCCTGATGGGCATCAAGCCCGACAGGATGAGCTACTCCAGTGACTACTTCGACCAGATCTACGAGTACGGTCTGAAGATCATCCGCGAGGGCAACGCCTACGCTGATGACACCGACAAGGAGACCATGGCCTCCCAGAGAATGAACGGCGAGCCCAGCAAGCGCCGTGATGCTTCCGTCGAGGAGAACCTTGCTCGTTTCGAGGAGATGAAGCAGGGTACTCCTGAGGGTCTCAGATGGTGCATCCGCGCCAAGATGTCCGTGGACAACCCCAACAAGGCCATGCGTGACCCCGTCATCTACCGCTGCAACCCCTCTCCTCACCACCGCACCGGTACGAAGTGGAAGATCTACCCCACCTACGATCTGTGCTGCCCCATCTTGGACTCGATTGAGGGCGTTACCCACGCTCTCAGAACGATTGAGTACCGTGACCGGAACCCTCAGTACCAGTGGTTCTTGGACACTCTCGGACTCCGCCACGTGCAGATCTGGGACTTTGCGCGCATGAACTTCATCCGCACTCTGCTCTCGAAGCGTAAGCTCACTAAGCTGGTCGACCAGGGCGTTGTCTGGGGCTGGGATGACCCTCGCTTCCCGACCATCAGAGGTATTCGCAGAAGGGGTATGACTGTGCCGGCTCTTCGCGAGTTCATTCTCAAGCAGGGACCCAGCAAGAACATCACCAACCTGGACTGGACCCTCATCTGGGCGACCAACAAGAAGTACATTGACCCCGTTGCGCCGCGCCACACTGCCCTCATGAAGAAGGATCTTGTCAAGGCCGTCATCAAGGGCGCCCCTGCTGCTTACACCGAGGACAAGCCTAAGCACAACAAGAACCCCGAGGTTGGCCAGAAGAAGGTCACCTTCAGCGGTTCGGTTCTCTTCGACCAGGAGGATGCCAAGACCTTCAAGCAGGACGAGGAGATCACCCTCATGGCCTGGGGTAATGCCATTGTCCGCAAGATCGAGAAGGACGCCGCGGGTGTTGTGCAGTCCCTGGAGCTTGACTTGCACCTGGAGGGCGACTTCAAGAAGACCGAGAAGAAGGTCACCTGGCTGTCTGCTGACCAGGAACTGGTCCCCGTGGAGCTGGTCGACTTCGACTACCTCCTCAACAAGGACTCCCTCCAGGAGGACGATGCTCTGGAGGACGTGCTGAACAAGAACACCGAGTTCCGTGAGGACGCCGTGGCTGACTGCAACGTTGCCGAGCTGCGCGAGGGCGACATCATCCAGTTCGAGCGCAAGGGCTACTTCCGCTGCGACCGCCCCTACGCTCCCGGCAAGCCGGCTGTGCTGTTCAACATCCCCACCGGTAAGACTGGCAAATAGATATACACTGAGTAGATATGAGTCTACATGTTATGAAGATACGCAGGCTATGTGATGTAGATGAAATGCGAGATTTCAATGTCAATTGACATGCGGGCACTATTTATCAATACCTTGGTTACCACGTCGGCGACCTTGCAGGAAAAGACTTCCGTCACATATGAGCAGTAAATTTCAGAGAAGAATGTGGGATTAGATAATAAGCGTAGCATCCATTCGGGATATTCGCACCTACTGATCTCGACATCGAACACATAATAAGCACTGTATGTCAAGTGACTACACACGCTTTTAGACGGAATTCTTAGCATATACGCTGTGTGTCAAATAAACTTCCGATGCCCTACTCTCAACTAGTTATACGACCGCTGACCCTATGGCAATGTGCAGCCACATACGTAGAGGCCCCTTACTTAGGTAGGGCTGGGTTCAAATTCGGATCCGGTCAAAAGTGCGAGGGGGTGTTTGTAGCTCGTGACATCTGGAGGAAAGTAGTAGAGACGAAAGTTCATTTTATATGGACCGTCGGACTCGGGGGGAAAATCCCTCAATCGCCGTAGGCTTGGAGGTGTGTGGAAGGAAGCAGCCAAGGGATACGGAGCAACATCCCTTGAACCTTGTGAAGGTGGTGACGGCATTGAAGGAGGACGGAGGGCTGGGGAAGATGACACCTGCTCAGGACTGCTTTGTACAGATCCCGTCATTCTTCTGGTACGTCCATCGTTCGTCCGCCAATTTAACTTGGCTTTCCTTCGGCATATTTTTTCGTCTTTTTTCTCGATCCTTCCTGTGTGATCCGAGTGCTCCGTGGCAGGGTCTGGAGTGGAGAAGGAACAGGAGTTGAAGAGTCGAGCTGGGGGATTAGAAGGCATGGAGTGAGTAATGGAGAGTAATCGAAGCAGTAATATTACGTCGAGATGGGTCCGTCACGTTGCACTGCGCTAGTCCTAATGCAGTCAGGGTCTGGGCGCTAGTCCCACTTGGTGCGGATCGATCGACTGTCTCCTCTTTTCTGACTAGTAAACTAGTAAGAGTAGTCGATCTAGTTCTATCCTTCTATCTACATCCTCTCTATCTAGATACTCTCTCACTCTTCGTAAGTTCAACTCGAATCAGTTGTCCACTTCAATCTCATGTCTACTTGATGCTTCAATGTCTGATCATTCGAAAAGCTTGAGCTTACAATGAACACTCTCCTCTGCCCCCTTCCACCCATTGGCAGCTGTCATCCCTGTTGTGTTGCTGTCCCTTCCCAAGCCTTTCCCTGGTTCTCTACTGCCGTGCCGTTACCCAGTCCACGCCCAGGACCCTGGTACACATCATCGCGTCACGAGTCAATTCCTCTGCTGACCCTCTCAGAATCCAACGCTCACCAAGGCACAATGGATTATTGGTGTGCTCCCAGACTCGGCCCGTCTATGCCCTACGGTTCGTTCGGAAATCTCACCATGTCTCATACGTCAAGACACTCGTCGAATCAACGAGTCATTCCCCCTTGGCCTGTGGTCTATCATCCTGTCGCGTTCGTGACTGGCTCCGGTAGTCGGTTCACTTTAAGCTCAATTGCTCAGGGTTACTGACACAAACGCCCGACCGGTCGACCTGGTGAGTGATCACTCTCCGTAGACTGCCGGAACTTCCTGGACTCTCCTACGTCAGCATGATTGTCTCCGTCAACACTATTCGTCAGAGCTCCAATCTGCTGTGAAAGTGACCATGCATCCTTGCTGCTTGGGACCAAGAAAGAAAAAGAAGCTTTCCTCGTTTTCCTTTGTCTCTTCTTCCCCAAACCTGGCGGGGAGGCCGACTTTTCTTTTCTACCTCGTAGAGTTGCTGTCGCTTGTTGCTCCGGATTGCTTCCTTTCTCTCTTTCCTGCGTGAGGTTGATTTCGCTCACTCTTTCGCTGTAAACTAAGGGCAGGCCCGCAGAGCGCTTCGGGCACGCCAACGGTTTCCTCTGCTGCCCTTGACAAGCTATTGGATCAATCATGGCTGAGCAGGCCGGCGCCTCTGGCGACGTTGAACGTGTCGCGCAGACAACCCAAACGCAAATCCGTACCTCGACCTCGGAGCGACGCGACTCGAGACGTGTCTCTCGGGTTTCCTACAAGGAAGACTACGCTAACCTTGACGAATATGGAAAATTGGTCAAGTATGCCTCTACTTACCGCGAGGGTCGTCCGGGTGACGAGGTGCAGGGCGAAGAGGAGGAGAAGAGGGTGTGGTATGCACCCTGGAAGAAGCGCAAGGTCTTCGTCAAGCATGTCGACCAGCAACCCGGTCAATTCCCTGAGGACTGGCTCATCACGGACATCCGTCAAGGTCTGCCTAGCAGCGAGATCCCAGTCAGACGTCGACGTGCCGGGTGGAACGAGCTGGTATCGGAGAAGGAGAACCCAATCGCTAAGATTCTGTCGTATTTCCGAGGCCCCATTCTCTATGGTACGCCATCAAGTCCCTAGGTACAGCAATTGATCGAGATCCTTTCATTCTAACAAGACTACAGTAATGGAGTTGGCTGTTCTTCTGGCCGCAGGTTTGGACGACTGGATTGACTTTGGTGTCATCATCGGTATCTTGTGTCTAAACGCAGCCGTGGGTTGGTACCAAGAAAAGCAGGCTGCGGACGTCGTTGCAAGTCTTAAGGGTGACATTGCCATGAGAGCTACCGTGATTCGCGATGGTCAGCAACAGGAAATCTTAGCGCGGGAGCTTGTGCCGGGCGACGTGGTATGTAGCGGAGACCCTGTTGAGCCCATTCCTGAGGTTCGTGAATAAGAGCCTGAAAGCTAACAATATGATTGCAGATCATTATTGGAGAAGGCTCAGTTGTCCCAGCCGATTCCAAGATTATCTGTGATGTCAATGACCCCAATGGTTGGGAAGAGTTCAAAAGGATGCAGGAGCAAGGCGACCTTAGCAGTACCTCCGAGTCTGACCTCGAAGACAATGAGCCTGAAGGAGGTCAAAAGGAGGGTGAAAAGGAAGAGGACTCCAAG